CATTCCTGCAGAAGAAATTCTGCGCTTTCTCTGTAGCATCAAAGTGGAAAAATGAATGCAAGGGAGGAAAGCATGCCATTGCTGGGAGTCTTGCATGTGCTCTGTCTACCTACCCTTTACCACAAAAAAAGCTCACCACCTAAAGCCACTTGTCCCAGTTTTCTGGTTTGCACACGGGTAAAGTCATTTAGTGTTGACTGTATGACACTAATCTGTCCCTCTTCCTTGTGTTAGATAATGAGAAGCTCAGGAGTTTTCCAGTAGGAGGTAAATGTTTTGTTCTTTTCCAGTAACATATTTCCATAATAGTCTCTAATGGGGGCGGGGGAAGAGCTCATGGTGGTTGTTCTATAGAGGGGAGTATCTGAGATTTGGCAAAACCTGCAAAGCAAAACATAAGTGATGACTGCCAAGGTCTGCGCAGGGTTTGGGTGGAGAACATGGTCAAAGGGAGAAAATCTTCCATTCGGAAAATCTCAAAAGCCAAAATCATCTTTACTCATGAGGAAAAGTAGCTCTTCAAGCGAACGGTGCTAACGATGTTTTCTGCTTCTTCCTACCACGCGCGAAGCATCTGTCAAAAAATTAAGATCAAGATATTTTGGAATAACTTCTGAGGATGATTTAGGTATTTTTGTTCTCTTGCTCTGGAAATGATAGATCTGTTTGAATATTAATTTTTAACTTCCAGCATTATTAATCTGATAATCTCAGCTATGATAATACATCATAAAAGCAATGCATTTACAGGTGAAGAGCCCTGGTTTTGCTCCATTTTTTTCACCGAAATGTACTGAGGGAATAAGAATGCTGCCCCATTCTCTGAAGGTTACCTGTTTCAAAGTAGTGCTGGGGAGTTTAATAGCAGAGAACTCCCTGACCAGAAGCGCAGCCCGGTGACTGCCCTGCCCCGCTCAGGGGGCACGCAGGGCTTTGCGCTGCCCTTCCCTCAAAGCTGTCTTTGCCTGGAAGAGGGGAAGAGTTTGGGGCCACCTCTGCAGCACGACCCGCTTCCGGAGCGGGTGCCAAGCCCCGCGTCAGTGTGATGGTCAGGCAAGCGCAGCTGCTCGGGGCACAGGGATGTCCCCGCTGGATCTGAGGTTGGTGCCTGCTAGAGCATCGCTGAGCACTGCTGCTCTCCGTCGTGACCGACCGGCACGGCTGGAGTGGCCGGGGAGGAGCAGGGGCAAAGAGGCTGCTGGGCTACCGGAGCCAAGGGAGGTTTTGATGTGCTCTTTGGGTGGTGGTGCAATTTCTCATGTTAAGCTCCTCTGATTTTTAACTGCCAGTACCGGCTCTTGTCTGGGGCTGCAGCGCTCCAGAGGGACCATGCCGTGAGCCTGGGCTAGTGCTGTAGCTCCAGGTGGAGCCGGTCCCTTTGCAGAGCCTCCCGTGCCAGGTGCCCCCTTCCAGCAGAAGCACCAGCCCTTGCACCGGGGACGGGCAACGCCGCTGCACTGGCACCACCGCTCCCCCCGCTCCTCCTCAGGCGCAAGGGGGGTGAGGCCCCAGGCGTCTAGCAGGCAACCAAACCCCTTTTTGCAAATTCCTTCCTCACAAAGTTCTTAGTGGTTTTTGTCCATTTCCATCCTTCGGCTGGAAATATTTTCCAGGGATCAGTGCTCATGTTCCGTGGACTTCATTACTGCAGATAGTTTACTTTGGGAAAGGAAGACAGATGCAGCTGGAGAATTACAGATTTGACATTTGAAATGCTCCTGTAAAGTATGTAATACAATCATGAATAAAATACAGATACTCTCTTTTCTTTCTCCAGATGCTTATAGAGTGAGCGCCCGTGGATCATTTCCTGGTAAGCGCTCCTCCTTTGTTTTTATTTAGAATAATTTTATAAAGTTCATTTCATATGTAGGATCATAGCAACATTACTTTAATAAATATGTTTTGATTGTGGGTGCCCGCTTGATATACAATTTAGTATTTGTTATATGCATTTCAATCCACAGATATTTTATAATGAACTATAAACTTTTGAAAACAATCTTGGTCCCTTTCCAGAAGTAAAAAATTATTATACCTCCTGAAAATAAACGTGAAAGATCTGGAAAAGCATGTATTAGTAAGCTGAAGGAAATGGTGTAGAAAAAAAAAAAAAATTTTTTTTTGGGACCCAGTCCCAGGGTCTGGTGTTTGAAGCCAATGGGGGCACAGCCGTCTGCGCGATGACAATGCCTGTCCTGCAAGGAGGAAATCCCAGGGCGCTGCAGAGACAGAGCTCAGCATCACCGCAAGCTCCCATAGCGCAGAGCAGAGAAGGTGCTAGCTGCTGCCTCCATAGGATCCGCGCACGCGCACTCGTGCAGCGAAAAAAGTCAATAGGCAACGAGCAGGAGGGATTCCCTGTTTTAAAGGGTGGGGAGGGAGATGCAAGGCACTACCCCAAACCAAGAAAACATTGGAAAAACCTTTTATTTCAGGTCGATGGCGCTCTGAGCCCAAATCTGGCAGCAACAAGAAGCTGTTGTCAGTAGGTAGTTATTCACAGTCGCGTGCAAGAGGAGCTGGGGTGGGCGTGCTGGGTTCAATGCTGCGTAGCGGCCATCGAGAACGCAGCTCAAAACCCTCCCGCAGCTCAGGCTGAGCATGCCGCAGTGGTACGGTCAATCCTAAGAGAAATAGCCACTGCTGGACATTGCTCTTTTTTTTTCCCCATTGGGACATCTTGTTTTAAGCAAAGCTCTCTGTAGAAGTCAGTGAAGAGCTCTGCCAAAAAGGCTTCTGTCACAGTATTCTTCCTGGTTAATTAGCTGACTTAGAGAAAAATATTTCATTAAACTCTTCCTACTAATTTTCAGTATTTCAGTTTTCAGGCTAAAAGACAAAACGAGAGCACAACCTCTTGGTAAGCAATACATATACTAGTCCCATTAATTATTATTAACATAACTGTAATGTACGGTTTTTCATACAATAATGTTTTTCTGACTGCATCAACTCTATGAAAACCCTTTACCTCTTCTTGCAAACCTTGGCTGTTTCTTTCCACATAAGTGAAAAATATCCCCGTATCCCATGAGAAAACCTCTCTGGCTCGAGGATATCATGACCAACAGAAATGTAGTACAACCAGATCTTCAGCCTCAGCTTTTTTAAGGGCTCATTGTCCTTAATAAACTCTAAGTTTAAAAATCTGTTGTTTTCATTCCTATCAAGACGCTGTGTCTGGGTGTGCTTTTCAATAATTATTCCTGTGTTGATTTTAATCATTCTATTCTATAAAAGCTATAACTAATATTTTAGGTATAAATTACTTTATGTAATTTTGCTGCACCTATCCAAAGGGCACAGGCTAGATTTTTCTTTGCATGCTAACATTGTTCTTCCGGCTTTTCAGCCAACGAATATCCACAGCTTCTCTTGCAATTACCCAAACAAAATGAAATAATCTGTTTAAATACTGATGGAAAAGCACAGCCGTCTGTCCACCTGCTGTCAGATCCGGAGCAAGGTGAGTGAGCCAGATTACCCCTGATACCAAGGACAAGGAGAGTCACTTTGGTCTATGAGAGGAGTTGGTGTCTTTGGGAATAACCCCCTTTTGTGAAGGGTCGTATCATACCTGCTGCCTTCCAGTGAGTGGAGAGGCTGTGGTTCATTTTTCCTCTCTATTAGGCAATATTAACTTTCACGGTGCAACAGCTGAGGGCACTTCTCACAAGTGATTTAGTCTAGTCTACCCTTGATTGGCTTTGAGTAGACTTGGTAGTGTGGGTTAATGGTTGGACTGGATGATCTTAAAGGTCTTTTCCAACCTAAATGATTCTATGATTCTATAAGTCTGGTTGTGGGTCACCTTTCTCCTCCTGGTGTTACATCCATGGCCTTGAGGCTTTTCCACCGCCCCAGCCCTTGGGGGCTTCTGAGGATGCAGAGACCTTAAACCCCACGCTCCCTACATGCTAACGGAAAGATGCACGCTCTTAACGCGCTGCAGTTTTTCTGTGGTCCTGTACTCAGAGGAGCCGCGGCCCCAGGCACCAGTTGTCAGCTGCTCTGATTGTGGAGCAGAGCCACCTCTGTGAGAGGAGGCAGCAACATGGGGGTAAACAGACTCTGGTGACCCCACTGTAGCCTTGGGGGCATGTGGATCTGAAATCCGGGGGTGCTGTGCCCCCCACAACTAGAATTGAGACCCTTAAGTTGCTTTAGCAGCAAAGCTGAAGCAGTTTTATTAAGATCCCTTGTACTTTATAAACATGGTCGCTCGACAAATTTGTGTCAATGTTATTAAAGGACTCACTGTGATTGGGAAACTTGGGGACAGAATAAATCACTTTGTGCAGTTTGAAATTACCTATGTGAATCCCCCTGCACGAATCCACGTCTCCACGGATGAGATCGTCCTAAGCCACAGTAACGAGAGCTTTCGGCTGCCATGGATGGAGTCAGCCACCTCCACCGTCCAGGGGTAAGAGATGTCGCCCCGTCCTTTCCCACATTTGAAAATGTGAGTCAGATCTTTTTTCATCCGGGCCTCCACTTTTCATATTTGCTTTAAGTAAGTGCTTCCAAATGCCTTATCCGGTAGAATAACTCAACGTGAGTGGAAGCAGGGTACCTTCACAATCCCCCATTTCAAATATGGAGAACAAAAAAGGTTTGATTTTAATTCTCCGTGTCTGCGTCAAAGAATCAAAACAACTGCACCACCAGCCTGAGAACATTTATCTTCCAAAGAAAAGGGCCCGCTGCGGCACACAGCAGCCCCTGTGCCGCCGCCATGCGGGCTGCCACCAGGCACTTTGTGTTCCTCCAGCCGCAGAGCCGGTTCTGCGAAGTGATGGCTTTGACATTTCCTGTCTCTTTTAGACATCACTTGGCTCCACGCAGGCTGAAGTTTTCTTTCTCCTCAGTTTCAGCAATAACTCACATCTCTGCAGCTGACATTTTTTATGGGAAGGCATAAAGGGGTTTGATAGTTGTCTATAACTATATGCCTACTGTTGGAGAAGGGGTACTTTAAATGTAGACTTCATTTGTTGGACTAACTACCACAAGAAAGAGCTGAAGGTAGCCAGTTCCACCAACTTTTTTGCATTGCCAGAATAAACCTCTGGGAGGATCTGCTGTTGGTCCCAGGCAGACAGGACACACCGCGCTCCCTCCCTTGTAGGCAGTTCTAGACAATAACAGAAGTCCTAAAACAACTGCTTTCAATTATTTTTGTAATCTAAACAGAGCCAAGGACATGCTGGATTCGTGCCCCTCTATAATTTGTCGTCTCCAAGCAGAATGATCCTCCTGCTTCAAACCAGCACCCGAGCCCTTGCAACCGCAGGGCTTTGGACACCAGCGCGTGTGGGTGTGCTTTTGTCTAACCTGACCTGCAAGGGGGAAAAATGACAGTGGATGTTTGGGTTCTGCAAGCCCACCTGGGGTCCAAATAAAGTCAATGGGTTAGAAGCAAGGCAGGGTCTGAAAAAACTTGTGAAATAGCCAAGAAAAAAGTATTTGACTTGTTCATAAAACAGATTGAGTTATTTCATCTAGTCTACCTTTTTTCTCATTAAAATGATGAAAAATACTCTCTTTTTTCCATCCAAGCATTTCTTGTCATTATGGGTAATAAGGTGTTCTCATCAGCAAAAAGTTCTTCTCTGTTGGTGTATTTGCATGTAACCTGATACGGGAAAGATTTGTTGTGCAGCATAGAAAAGATATGCTACTTATTATTTTCTAGCTTAAAAATAACCACTAACAGATCATGAAAAATGCAATTGCAAAGAGGCAAAAGGCAAAAATTAAATTATTTTAATTAATTAATGTCAGCTAGTTAAATACATATTCTTTCTTCATATTCTTCTTGGAAATAACATCATAATTTACTTCCTAGGCTGAGAGTCTCAGTTGAAAAGGAAAGGAGCGTTACAGCATCATTGCCTGGTACAGTCACAGTAAAAATTTCCTTTGTAAAGTTTCCAGATGACTTCCTTGGGCTGTATTTCTTGAACACCGACCGTTTTTCTGACGAAGTCAGTGGAGTTCTGGGTATGTATCATTACAGATGTATGCAGCAAAGAAGGATGATCTTGTAACTGAGCTCCTGAAATGAGAATATAGTGGGGTTTTTTTCAGCCACATGATAAGCCCTTATTCAGATTTTACTCCCCTGGGTCCTGACAAGCTGTCATGAAAATCAGTGGGCAGGCAAGGCAGCAGGAATGCTGTAATTCAGGGGGTTCTAGAGAAACTTTACATTTAATTTATTCTTTTCAGACATCTAACATCACCCTTTACTGCACAGCAATCCAGACTCTACTCTGTGAAGAGGGGGAGGTCTTACCCTTGGAATCAAAGTCAGCTGGTCCTGAACATCTCAACTCCAAAAATCCTGATGGGAGTAAAGTTGAAGTTGTTTCAAAAACTTCGCAAATGGGAGGGGCTGCATGTTCTTAAAACCACCAAAAAAAAGTGAAAACCCACCAGAGCAAGGCTGAATCTCTCTGTGGAGGAGCGTTAGGGATAACAGGACATTACGGCGGAAGCACGGGAATTTTCTTAATTTACTAAGGGAGCTTCCAATTGTGGTCTTGGTTTTTTTTGTTCATTTGCTTTCTGAAGCAGAGAGCTGCTTTCCTGGTGTTACAGCTGCCATTTGGGTTAAATGAATAGCCATACTCAGATGTTTTGTATTTTTAAAGAATTTGTGTGTCTCTTGCTTAGGTCAATTTTATTCAAAAGCACAATTTGACAGTAATGCCAACATCAATCAGAGAGCTGACGGAAGACTCCTGCGCGTGTCTGGATCTGAGCACAAAGTTACCAGGTAACAGATATGGGATAAGGGTGAGTGATGTACATGCTTTGAGACATATTTTATCAGCTAATACCAAAGATCAAAAGAAATTAAACTAAGGGAGTGTTTGTCTGTAAGAATACATCACTTTGGTGTAAATAATAGGAACTTGGGCTTGAATTTTTCCCTAACAGCCTGAATTTGTTGCATGTTAAGTGATGCTACAGGGCTCAAGGCTCCTATTTCATAAAGTAAGGTTCTGCTGCCTCGTTTACATTGATAGAGGGAGGGTGTTTCCTCAGCTGGATTTATGAAAAAATTGTCACACTGAGTTGCTTTTAGCCAGTTTCCGTGATGTGGAAGAAAGGCTGTGAGCGTGCAGCGTCTGCGCGCTGTCATCACCGCTGCCTCCAGCTCTAGGAGCGCAGAGGTGCCAGCTCTGCCCGCACACTGTCCCTCTGGCTCCTGGGACCATCTGCAAACACGAGGTTGATTCTGGGCCTGCCCTTTGGTTATTTTATCACAAATTTTTCTTGTTTTGATTTTGTTTCAGGCAATACAAGAAAGATTACAGGCTTGAGTCAACCAGTGATTCTGTTCCCTGCTGGTCAATAGATGTAACTCCCTAGAAAAAGAGTATTCTGGGAAAGAAAACTATGCAAATGACGCCTTCCAAATATTTTTCATACTTTCTCTCATCAAGAAAATCACGGAGTTAAAGCCCTACCTGTTACTATATATAAATGTCACAAATCTTTTAACTCAAAATAATTATACTTTCAAGATGAGAAGGTGCTTGCTTGTTGTTTGGTATTTTAAAATGGTTTCCAATACTCAGTGTGGTTATGTTGTTGAAGATTTATGTGAATGAACTAAATAAAATTGATATTGTCAGCTCACAGTTTGATATGGACATGCAGACTTAGGTCTCCGAGTAAAAATAAGTAGTGGCATCACCCAACCCAGCAAATGTGTCATGCAAACAGTAATTGATTTCTAAAATCTATACCCTCTATCCAGTTACGAATTACAGTGTTCTTGAACTATGTATTTTGTAAAAAGGGTATGAAGTTTAAAGCAGTATTAGTTTACTGTTTCTCTCATGTTTTATTTTATGGAGGGGAAAAAAAAACCAAACCATTCTTACTGTATTAGGGCTCTTTTGGTGATCGTTCTGTAACGATGTTCAAAGCTGATGAAATTAGCAATCAGAGCACGAGTGAGGGTGGCAGCCCACACTGGCTGCAGTCCCGTTCATTGTTGCAAAGTTTCTGAGGCTTTGTTTTAAAAAAACTCTGCAAAACAGACATTGACTTGTTCCGAAACAGACCTCTGACTTGTTGCAAAAGACAGTGCTTCAACCCTAATTTAGCAGCTGTTTTGGCACCTTTTCATACAGCATTTTGCAAACATTGGAAGAAGTTTTACAAATAATGAACAACTCAAAACAACATGTGGTGCATGGAGGTAACATTTTGGAGGAAATGTACACACAGAAGCCTCTGCCCGTGGTATGAAAGTTCTAGTTTTAGTCTTCAGGTTTTTTTTCATAAATTTGAATTCCAAAATTATTTTGTGTTAGAATTTCAGTTCCTATGTATCTTTGAACCCATAAACATGCCAGCATTGTAGAAGGTTTAACAAAAGTTGCTTTCTATCCTGCCAATAATACATAACTAGAAAAAGCTTATTATTTTACAGCAATGTACTGAAAGAGAAGCAATTTCTTGCCAAAGTCAGTAAGGTAAAGCAAACTCAGTAATCAGAAGTCTGTTTTTAAAAAGAACTGCGTAGACATGATGCCAAGATATGTTTGTGTGAATTGCTTGTACTTCCAAGATGCAGATTTGGCTGGACAAATTACATGACAGACAATGTGGAATTTGGAAACTGGAAACACCAGATTGCTTGCTTTACCACATCATAAACAGGCTTACCAATTTGAAAAGCAGATTATTTCCTTTATAAATGAACTTGGTCTTTGAATTACATGCTGTTGATGCTGGGTTTTGTCAGTGGACTTACCGCAAATTAAAAATTCCCTGCTTTCAGTTATAGGGTGTCTACGCATTGCCTCCTCCACCTGCCTGCTAACTGCAGGGATAGCAAATAGCGCTGAGATAGGGAGCAGCGAGGCGTGGCTGGGGGGGGGGTTTTACCCGGTCCCCTCTGCTTTAAGCTT